ACCAAAACCAGCAAGTGACCATACCACGACGACCAGGACGACGAGACGAAGAGATCACCGTCCAGATCGCCGCCGGAAGCCGCCGCACGCGCCGCCACGCGCCGCCGGAAGGGAGCAGCGGCTGGATCTTGTAGACGCGCGTGAAAGCGCGTGAGAGCTCAGTTTTCCGACCGGTCAACGCCGTTGACTTCGCCGTGACATCAACTTTCTGGATTGGTCAAGTTTGTTCGATTCCGAGAAGATTTGATTTGCGCTCAACTGTCCGGGCCAGCCAGATCTACATAAATTTTAAGCAGTAAGTTTTCTTCATCAAACCTTTAGATCCGCTGCGCATAGGTTTATGTTGAATGTTTGTCCGTGATTTGTGCATATCGAGATCCTCGTGGGTTCCAACAATTGGTATCAGAGCATGAGGTTAATCCGTTATGTACAAGATCTGGATTAAACTGCTTAATTGTCTATGTGTGCTCAAGCGCAGCCATATATATTGGATTATATGCATAACTTGGTTTTGCAGGAAATAGTTAATCCACTATTAGGGCCACCTTTTTATGTGCTTGTGCTTGATTGATGGTTGGTTGTATGGTTTTAAATTTGTTTTTAAAGCCTCGGGATTGTCGAGGAATTATGGATGAATGCTTGTATTAATTGCCCGGGGGTTGACCGGATAGTTTAAATAATTAGTAGAAGGCATGTACATCCACTCGTTGGATTTAGGAATCGATTTATGTAATTTTGTAAATTATATTTTTCGTATTGTGATCGACCGTTGGAGACCGGACCTTCACAAAGATCCAAAGAGACTCGACAAAGCAAGGAAGAAACCGGAGCCGGGAGCCAAGTGGGCAGCGCTGCCGCAGCTTCTACTGGTGAAGGTTTTGTGGAACTTGCAGTACAAGTCAACAGGGATTCTACTGCAGTGGGAGTTCCAGTTGGTTTAGGACAGAAATCTTAATCCAAGGAGAATAAATATTTAATTGGTCATAATAGTGGATATTTATTTATGGCATTAATTATTTATTTGTTTATTTATGCATGGGAATAATTGTTGCCTTGTGTGCATAGAATTATTTAGCATTGCATAAATATATATATTAAAAATCCTCATTTAAAATACTAAGTTGAGAAGGATATTTAAAGTTAAGATAATTTTAAAATTCCTAAGGCCTCCATTTCTAATTCGTTGGTAAATCAATTAATTGATAGTGTGGGCTTCCC